CAGTGTATTTTCTCCACTTCAGGTTCTGGTTTAGTTCCAACCCTGTAATTGTTAAACAATAATATTTCAAACATTTTCTTGCTTTAATCTTCAGAAAAACAACAGCCAAACTGTCTACAAAAACACCATCATGACCCAGAACCTTTCCTCTAATGGCATTACCCGCCAAGACCAGGTTTCCATCGACTTCTCCTGCACTCACACTGATCCTGATATACAGACTGTGGCCTTCAGAATCAAGTCCAGGTGTGTTGTGGCTGTTTACATGTTAAGAATTAAGTTAGTTCCTTTCTATATATAAAAAACAACAAATCATAAATACATTTGGTCACCTCCTTCGAGTTTATTAGACCCAGGTTCTCGAAAGGGAAGCAACATAATTTCATTTTTTTTTTTTTTATTCAGCATCATCTTCATATACAGACATTTGAAAAAACTAAACATATATTTTCTGATTTGATAGCTGGCTAAATATCTACAGCTTAAATCATTTGCTTAAATTATTGTCTTTAGCAAAACAACTTTCCTAAAAAAAACAACAAAAAATGTTTTAAGTTTTTTTCCCTTGTTTTATTTTCTGCCCTGAAAGGTAAGTAAAAAAAAAAAAAAAATCAAAGGCAAATTGTTCTCTTTATTCTTGCAATACTTTCTTTTGTCACTAGAGGCCCTTCTGTAATTAGACAGACAGCCACTATGAGCTGTATTCAACTGTATAGTCAGATAGGTCTGGTTTCTAACAATGTCCCAAATATAAAATTTGATTTTTGAAAAGTAAAAAAAAGATACAAATAAGGTACAGAGGCTGTGTATTCATTGGACATGGCATGTGGTTATCATATCACTGTTTCTTTATGAGCAATAGAGAATTTATTGCTGGGATGATCCAGCATATTTGGAGGACATCATCATAACGGCTCTTTCAGATCATGACTGTATTTACCAGATAATCTTAGACTTGCTGTCAATCAATGCTTATCATAAGTTAACTTAAGTTAGACATGGGTGTAAGGAATAATGTGGCAACAATTAAAGTAGGAATCCTTCAATGATAATATTTATTCATGTTTTTGTTATAACAGCTAGATGGGGAATTTAAAGAGTTTTTCTTTTACAATAAAACCACATCAAAAAACAGGGTTAGGGTTCGGTGTGAGAGGAAGAAAAAGGCAAACAACGGCAGAGCAAAGAATGTACAGTGGTCGGCTGAGGAAAACCAGCGGTTGATTATTTTTGTTGGGCTATTCTGGAGTTCAAAGCCAAGTTGGAGTCCTGGATGCCCTAATATAAACTGCCTGTTGGACAGTTTATAGACCAAACAGAGAGACCAGGGAAAAGTTTAACAGGTTTATTTAGTATAATGAGAGGAGTCCAGTGCTGCTCTGAACACTGTCCGGAAACCGAAACTGGAAAGTGAGGGGAAGACACTGCGGTTAGTTCATGCTCAGTGGGAAATTAGATTATTTGACTTGAAGAGGAGGAATAGGTTGCAGACTCAAGTTTCCAGAAAAAAGTGTCTTTTATTGAATCCAGTCGGTGTGGGATGTTCCAGTGATTGTCTTGTTTGATGGTGGGTGGACAGGGTTTACCCAGACTGCGGTTGATCCTTGGTGAACCGAGAAGCTGACTGCCACATAGATTCCTTGCGGTACTTGAACGGGTTATTGTGGAGATGAATCCCCTGCTCAGAGAGAAGCCCCGGACAATTCTTGGAGTCGAAAGGTTGATCCAAACCACAAGCTTGAATCCTTAGCTCAGTTTGGTTTTAAGAGGATCCTTCCAGGGGAGAGAAGGTCCGATTCATCCAGTTTGC